CGCAGGGGGGGGAAATAGAGACGTTTGGACACGTATCCTTGCGCCTGATGCATATGTTCACCTGACGGTAGATACCCGGGAGTTGTTGTGGGGTTGCTTCCCGAGGAAGGTGACTGGAGGGAGGCGACGGGATGCGGACCACAACAGACAGGTAAAACAATCAAGCAGAGTAGTGGAGGGGGCGGACATAAAAGTGATCCCCTGGCAGTACACGCCATTAAAAAAGGCAGGTGAAAAGAAGACACGAAAAATGGAAAAGTTTCGCTCAGTCGTGTGTGTGTACTCACCTAGTTGTGCTTGCGGGGGTTGAGCTCTGGCTCTTTGGTCCCGCCTCTCAACTGTCAATCAACTGGTGTACAGGTTCCTGAGCCTACTGGGCTCTATCATATCTACATTTGAAACTGTGTATGGAGTCAGCCTCCACCACATCACTTCCTAATGCATTCCGTCTGTTAACTACTCTGACACTGAAAAAGTTCCTTCTAACGTCTCTGTGGCTCATTTGGGTACTCAGTTTCCAACTGTGTCCCCTTGTTCGCGTCCCACCAGTGTTAAACAGTTTATCCTTGTCTACCCTGTCAATTCCCCTGAGAATTTTGTAGGTAGTGATCATGTCTCCCCTCACTCTTCTGTCTTCCAGTGTCGTGAGGTGCGTTTCCCGCAGCCTTTCCTCGTAACTCGTGCCTCTTAGTTCTGGGACTAGTCTAGTGGCATACCTTTGAACTTTTTCCAGCTTCGTCTTGTGCTTGACAAGGTACGGGGCTCGTACCTTGTATGTGTGTGTGTGTGTGTACTCACCAACCTGAGCTTACAGGGTCGAGCATAAGCTCTTAAGCCCCGCCTTTTGACCATCATTAGGTCAGTGCAGACTCTGTTCACATTTTATTATCGCATTTACATTTAAAGTTGTGTACGATCGAACTGGTTTCGAGAGCTGCTGGCCTCGTCTGGTCCGTTCCGCTTATGTACGAATCTTAGACTAAAAAAGTTTTTTCTCACATGCCTGTGACACCAGCTGGGTTTCCAGTTTCCATTATGTCCATTGCTTCTATATCTACGTTGTCAATCCCCTCCTTACTATCTTGTACGTCGGAATCATGTCTGCACGCTGCCACACTCACTGGAAACTGGTACCTGGAACAGGTATAATTGGAACCAGCAAGAAGGTGTGTGCGTGGGATAGGGGGGGGGGGGGGGGGGAGGGAGGAGAGAAGACTCAGTCAAAATATTAAACCTTAAAAAGCCTTTTGCTAAAAAAAAAAAGACTATCGACAAGTACTGGGATTTTTTTGTTGCTTTTTTCCCCACTGGATGACTAACCACTAATTTCATAAATTGGAGGCTTAGGTTCTTTTCTCCGATGTGTTCGTGGGATTTTTGTCGCTGTTGTGGGGGGGGGGGAGGTTGTGGGGCTTTTGTGGGGCTGTTGTGGGGGAGGGGGTTGTGGGGCTTTTGTTGGGAGGGAAGATGTGGGGCTGTTGTGGGGGGGGGGAGGTAGTGGGGCTTTTGTGGGGGAGGATTGTGCAGGTATTGAGTGGGTTGGGGAAATGACAGATGGGGGAGTGAGTGGAGGTGGGGGGGGGGGGAATAGAAAGGGGGGGGGTGAGAGGAGATGGTAATTGGGGAGGATGGGAAGAGACAAAGGGGGGGGGATGGAGGGGGGGTAAAGGGGGGGGATGGACGGGGGGTAAAGGGGGGGGGGATGGACGGGGGGGTAAAGGGGGGGGGTCTAAAGAAAAGATGGTGGGGAGGGAGAGGCAGTTTTATAGCCACTATTGACACCCAACATTCGGTGGATGGTGAACCATTTTAAAGTTACACCGCCGCCATTTTTAAAGTCCACTTTGATTACCTGAGTGCTTCCTTTGAATAAAAATAAAGCAACTGCAGCCATGTGTTTTTGTTTGTTTGTTTTTAAAAGGCCTCCCGGTAGCCAACTGCGAAATTTATCGCGTTGTCTTAAACGCTCAGAACACAGCTGATAACTTATTTCTCTTTAAATGGTAAACAAATTCTTTTGCTCACTTGGGAAGCTTCTACGGAAAGTTTAATGGAATTAATTAAACTAACTCGTGTATCCTTGATTATGTTAAATATGGGGGGGGGTATGAATCCAACCCGTTCTCACACTTTCGTATAGTCAATATTGACTTATTAAATACGTGCATATGTGGCATACTAATTTATTGTGAATATTTTAGTTTACCTTGAAAAGCTTCATAGAAAACACCGACCTTACCTAACCTTCTTAGTATGTTAAGATAAGCATTTTATTGCTTCGTAATTACAATTATTACTTAACCTATTATAGGTATAGGTTAAGTAATAATTGTAATTACATCTTGTAATTAATTGTAATTGAATCATCTTGGGGGCAATAAAATGGGTATTACAACCAATTATATCGTTTATTTTTAAATGTTTATGAAATAGAATGCCTGCCTGTCCGAATTACGACAGATGCTTGGGGCTGCTAGTCTCACCCAACTTTGCAAGATGGCAGATGAGAGGTGTGTGAATGTCATAGGCCAGTCGGAGTCGACCTCAGTATCACCTTTGGTCTGAGGATACGACGCCTTTCCACGATTTATAACACGGAAGAAAGAGTCGTGAAAGATATTATTGATAGGAACGTTATCCTCCCACAGACACCAATCATAAGATACAATTAACAATTTACTACAAAAACAAGAAGACCACCAACTTGCTTATGAAGAACTCTCCAGACACCAAGTAAAACGCCTTACGAGAGACCAACGTCGTCTATGCCTTCACATGCCCACTTGGGGACTGTCAGCCCCAAAGATCTTAGTATATAGGCAAGACAACAACGTCTCTCTCTCTCTCTCTCTCTCTCTAGGCTATTAACAATGCACAAACAACAGGGCTCCATCAAGGAGCATTTAATTTCCTCACAAAACCAGACCATCACCAGAGACATCTTAACAAGCAACACTGAAATAATCGACAGGTATAACTACACCTGAAGATTGAAAATCAGCGAGGCCCTACACATCAAAAAGTCACTACGAGCAGTCAACAACCAGTTAACACATAATTATATTCTACCCACTTCAAGACTCCGAGCCAACACAGAGACAGCAGCAGCAAGAATACAAGCTGCATATATCCATGCATGCAATAGCCTATTAATATGCAGGCGATGAGTCACAATAACGTGGCTGAAGTATGTTGACCAATCCACACACTAGAAAATGAATGGACGACGACGTTTCGGTCGTCCTGGACCATTCTCAAGTCGATTGTCTTGAGAATATCCCTTATGTTATGCCATTCATCATCCACTTGTCCGCCTCATTCACGTTCTGTACAACCTCACCCAAAGATAATATAATTATTTGCAGTTGTATGGTTAATTAGTCTTTGAAAATGTAAGGAGTGCCTTGCAGAACGCATCTCCAGGCGTCAAACCATAATAAAGTGTGAAAATGAACTTTGGAGAGTTAATTTTTCAACTTCTCTCGACAGTGAAGAAAAAACACATGAGAATATTGAGAAGATTCTTAGAATCATTAATCTTACCCTCTCCGTCATATTCAACAACACACACACACATTATATATATATATATATATATATATATATATATATATATATATATATATATATATATATATATATATATATATATATATATATATATATATAATATATAATATACAATGTAAAACACTGCTGCAAGCAGGAATCCGGCTTCTTCCCAATAATTTATACCGCGGAAAGAAATTATCCAGGAATTTTCCTTCTAGCACAGTGTGCATGTCTGGTACAACATAGTGTTAGTTCCAGAGGGTACTTCAAGTGGAGGAGTCTGAGGTGCCATGCTCCTTCTCTGCAGGATACCAACTCTTCCTGTCTCACCCCTACAGCATGTGTGGGCATGTTTCTACTTGCCCTCGTCTGCTGCCGCTTGCACGGTCGGCGTTCAATCCCCAATGGTCCAAGTGGTTGGGCCATCGTTCCTTCATCCCTGTCCTCTTATCCTAGCTTCTTGTCCTCGTATTCCAGCTCCTTGTCCTCGTATCCCAGCTCCTTGTCCTCGTATCCCAGCTCCTTGTCCTCGTATCCCAGCTCCTTGTCCTCGTATCCCAGCTACTTGTCCTCGTATCCCAGCTCCTTGTCCTCGTATCCCAGCTCCTTGTCCTCGTATCCCAGCTCCTTGTCCTCGTATCCCAGCTCCTTGTCCTCGTATCCCAGCTCCTTGTCCTCGTATCCAAGCTCCTTCCAAATATTATAAAGTCATATTGGCTTAGCGCATTCTCCTCATTCTTGCCTGCATAGACGTTTGTGTCTGTGTACATGTTTGGTGTGAGTTCCTTATCTACCTTGTGAGCTCTCCATCTACCTTGTGAGCTCCTTATCTACCTTGTGAGCTCCCCATCTACCTTGTGAGCTCCACCGTCTACTCCGGCGGGTGTGTCTACCCGGATTATAAAACGTGGACTAATAATATGCCGTTATTTGATTCATTAATATTTGGTATTTATAACATTTGATTATGAACATGTAACAACTCTACCACACACACACACACCACCCAGCCCACTAACTACACTACCACACACACACACACACCACCCAGCCCACTAACCACACTACCACACACACACACACACCACCCAGACCCCTTAACCACACTACCACACACACACACACACCACCCAGACCCCTTAACCACACTACCACACACACACCACCCAGACCACTAACCACACTACCACACACACACACACCACCCAGACCCCTTAACCACACTACCACACACACACGCCACCCAGACCACTAACCACACTACCACACACCACCCAGACCACTAACCACACTACCACACACACACGCCACCCAGACCACTAACCACACTACCACACACCACCCAGACCACTAACCACACTACCACACACACACACACCACCCAGACCTCTAACCACACTACCACACACCACCCAGACCACTAACCACCTCTCATCTTGTGTTGACAGAGCCAAGAGTGACCGAGTGTCTGTGTGCAGTGAGGAACGAGAGAGAGGAGAGGACTCCGACTCTCAGTTCTCCTACAGCGGCGCCAGCTCCCCTTCTCAGGTGAGTGCCTGGGCCACGGGGTGCCAGTTTTAACACGCTGCTCACCTTGTAGGGACTTGCAGGTGGGTGCAGGGAACATGAGCTTGGATACAAGGTGCTGTGTATATCGTCTAGGGATGGACCTGTGTGTGTGTGTGTGTGTGGGTGTGTGTGTGTGTACGTGTGTGTGTGTGTGTGTGTGTGTGTGTGTGTGTGTGTGTGTGTGTGTGTGTGTGTGTGTGTGTGTGTGTGGGTGTGTGTGTGTGTACGTGTGTGTGTGTGTGTGTGTGTGTGTGTGTGTGTGTGTGTGTGTGTGTGTGTGTGTGTGTGTGTGTGTGTGTGTGTGTACGTGTTGGCTAATCGGCAATATTGAACCATTGGCTAATTTCTTTGTTTTGTTCTTCTGTGTCTCTTAAGGCTCGGTATGAATGTTCCTTCAGCTTACAAACACTTCCTAAACACACAGAATTCTGTGCATTGCTTCTTCTCTCCCTCTCTCTCCCCCCACCTCCTCAGTGTAATTGTTTTAGGAGAAATCTGTATTCCGTCATACTTCCATCTCCTCAAGATTGTCATTATTCTCTCTCTCTCTCTCTCTCTCTCTCTCTCTCTCTCTCTCTCTCTCTCTCTCTCTCTCTCTCTCTCTCTCTCTCTCTCTCTCTCTCTCTCTCTCTCTCTCTCTCTCTCTCTCTCCGTGTTGGGGGTTATAACTATCCTCGGAATGTTTAGTGAGCGGGAGTTTGAGTGAGAGGGATGGAAGGAGTGGGAATAGGGTTTCGGGTAAGGGAAGGGAGAGTGGGAGACTGAAGGAGGGAGAGAGAGAGAGAGAGAGAGAGAGAGAGAGAGAGAGAGAGAGAGAGAGAGAGAGAGAGAGAGAGAGAGAGTATGAAAAAAAGCTAAAAATGCAAATATGTCCATGCCAAAAATCTGGTGCCTTTTAAAGTTATCATGAAAATAAGAAATAAATTAGTGTGTGAACCTCTGGGACCTTCTCTTATTGTGGGTGTTCGTAGCCTGGTTGGTAGAACTGCAGTCTTTCGCTTCGCTGGGCCTGGGTTCGAGGCTCCCCATGATCAGAAGTGAGTGAATGATGAGGGTTCGAACCTAGGAATATATAGTTCGAATATATGTAATATAATATATATAATATAAAGCGGACCTTGTCCAAGATCTCATAAATAGAGACGAGTCGACCAGCCCAAACCAACAAGCCAGAACTGTCTTCATATGGAGGACTCAGAGTTAAAAGTGTCAGAGGTAATTCATCCATTGCAACATTCCCCATAAAGATGGCTCTACAAAATGCAACCAACCATCGTGATTGCAACTCATCAATAAAGCACAAATTAATTAAAATCCTGTGACCGGACAATGAACGCCTCAGAACAGGATCTGAGCGCAGCCTGCAAAAATGACCCTCAATTGAAAGCAAATATTTTTTCCCGTTCCTCAACCTGCTCAGTTTGGTCTCTCTCTCTCTCTCTCTCTCTCTCTCTCTCTCTCTCTCTCTCTCTCTCTCTCTCTCTCTCTCTCTCTCTCTCTCTCTCTCTCTCTCTCTCTCTCTCTCTCTCTCTCTCTCTCTCGTATGTGGATGTATATTCAGCGGTACTTACGTGTGTGTGTGTCTTCTTTCCTATTTGTGCACACCTGTTTCTGCCTTCAGGATTGAGCTTTAGCTCTTGGACCCCACATTTCTGACCGCTGGTTGACTAGTGCAACGACTTCCCTTTCTCCTGTATCATATTTATGTTTTAACATTATGAACGGAGTCTGCTTCTATAACCTGTTCGTTTAGTTCATTCCATTTTCCCTCACTGATATAGAAAACTTTCTCACATCTCTATGACTCATCGATTCTGAAGCTCCATCGATGCCCTCTTATCCTATTAGTATTTATTGTGATTTCCTCTTTTTTTTTTACTCTATCACTCCCTCTAAGTACTTTATCATGTCTCTATCATGTCTCTTTTTTTATCTCCAGTGACGTTAGGTGTGGTTCCTTCAGTGGTTCTTTATACCCCATCCCTCGCAATTCGAGCCTCATTGCAGACCTTTGAACATTTTCTAATTTTCTCATCTATGTTTTAACATGTGGGGCTCCACGATGGGGCGGCATACTCTAACACTGGTTTCATGCAGGCTTTTTTCCAGTGATACTCATGCGCGGGCCCCTGAGTCTCTGGCTGGCCCACTCTTACTCATGTCTCTCTCTTAACGAGTTAAGGAGGCGATGGATGAGTATTTAAGACTCTTTATGTTGGCTTCAGTAAGATTATATCCAATGTGTTTAACAACTTCTTCTGCGCTATTCATAATCGATTGAAATCTTATTTCATTTGTAACTGTGCACTATGTTAGGTAATGTTACTGTGGTGTGTTGGGCATTTTTCCACAGTGCTGTTTTCTCTCTTCTGGAACCTGTAAGCCTATTTCCCAACGTATGTGAGGAGCCAAACCTGTGGTGGTGTAAGTGTACTTCTGTTGTGCCCTTTCCTCGGAATTAGTGGTGCGTAGTTGGTTGACTTCTTGTACCAGCCTGCAGATCCTGATCCAGCTCCTGTTATGGTCAGGTTATCTTGAGATGATTTCGGGGCTTTTTAGTGTCCCCGCGGTCCGGTCCTCGACCAGGCCTCCACCCCCAGGAAGCAGCCCGTGACAGCTAACACCCAGGTACCTATTTTACTGCTAGGTAACAGGGGCATAGGGTGAAAGAAACTCTGCCCATTGTTTCTCGCCGGCGCCTGGGATCGAACCCAGGACCACAGGATCACAAGTCCAGCGTGCTGTCCGCTCGGCCGACCGGCTCCCAAAGTGATGTGGTCACTGTACATCATCTTGAGGTTATCTTGAGATGATTTCGGGGCTTTTTAGTGTCCCCGCGGCCCGGTCCTCGACCAGGCCTCCACCCCCAGGAAGCAGCCCGTGACAGCTGACTAACACCCAGGTACCTATTTTACTGCTAGGTAACAGGGGCATAGGGTGAAAGAAACTCTGCCCATTGTTTCTCGCCGGCGCCTGGGATCGAACCCAGGACCACAGGATCAGAAGTCCAGTGTGCTGTCCGCTCGGCCGACCGGCTCCCTGATCATTGCTCTATCTCTTAATTATTTTCTTATTCTGCACTAGACTTTGTGGTATGTAAATGTCTACATTCACCCTCTTAGTTTTGCAGCTTCATCTGCAGTGTCATTGGCGGGTATTCGTCCATGACTTGACACCCAGTGGAGAAGCATCCGACGGCCTTGAGGTATGAATGTGTGCATTAAAGCTGTAACATTTGTGGTCAGATGGATGTTCTTGTTCTCGTTGTAAATGTTCAATGACAGTTCTCCAAATTGTATGTATGACATTGCATCTCTGTTAAGTTGAGCACCCAGTCGAGAGTCTCCAGTTAACTGTTGAATTTCCTGCGTTAACTGCAGGTGAAGAGTCTTGTCTCTCGTATGTGAAGCTGTCAGAGGCCAAGTTTGCTTCTATATTCATCTGTGCAGTGATGCATAGCAGATGGGGGGGGGGGGAGTTAGTCTAATTCTTTCCTCCTTGCAAGAGTCGTAATCTTAAAGTCTGCTGGCAACGATTCCCAAGGTGACCAGAGATCTAAGTGTCTGCTTATTTCAGTTCCTGAAAGATATTCTGACTTTTGGCTTTGTAGAGTATGATGATGCTGATGTTATCTTGTTTCTATGTATCCCGAGTTAGGTTTGGTGTTCACTCCCGGGTCATTTTCTCTAGCCGTTACAGGTAGGGAGTTCCACCCTCATTGGTCAGGTCCATCTAACTCAGCCTTTCATTACAGTTTGTAGTGTGTTTGTGGTGGTAATTGTAGTAATAGTGACAATTGGGTGATGGTGATGGTGCTGACAGTGGTGATGGTGACAGTGGTGATGGTGGTGACAGTGGTGATGGTGAAGGTGGTGGTGGAGTTACTTTTTGTGGAAGTGAGAGAGGGAGAGAAACAGGGAGAAGTGGAAACATATAGCGGGTTGAGTGAAAATAATTGCAAGCTCAAATTGTTATTAGTATTAGGAGGAGGCGGAGGAGGGGAGAAGCGTGAGCAGAGACGTGTGCAACACCACACTGTAAAAGTAACCCGACGGACAATATCGTTCACGCTGCTTAAAAATGCTCTTATAAAAAACGAGGATCTAAAAACGCGGACGATAATCAAAAGTGTAGATTAGTTTTAGCCCGGTTAAAATGTTGTTGTTGTTAAGATAATTACATTATGAATATGTAAGTTTGAAAATAATCTCACTCCTAAAAACCGCGACAAAGAAATTCTTACAGTGAAGCCCCTCATTCTTCACATGCTACAGAAAACGGGATGTTATTACAATGATTACGCAAATTGGGGGTTATTATAAGGATGTCCACAGAAAACGGGATGTTATAACAGTGATGGTTACAGAAAATGAGATGGTGTTCAAGTGATCATTACAGAAAATGGGGTATTGTTGCAATGATTACAGAAAATGGATGTTGTTATAAGGCTTAACTTGTCTGTCCTTAAGGAGGCGATCCGCTCAAGGGAATGGAGTGGGAAGGATTACATAATATGTGTTATTATCTACTCTCTATGCATGGTTAGGTTAAGCTGAAGTTACTGCTGGTTAAGGTTAGGTTAAGTTAGGTTGTTTCATTACTTTCAGTTACGTTAATAAGACAAAAAGCTGGACCTCACTCCCCATAGACAATGAGAGATAAGTACCACCACCACCACCCCCATTATCTCACTATTTTCACCATCATCACACCACCACCACCACCATCACCACCACCATCACCACACCCCACACCACCACCACACCCCACACCACCACCACCACCATCACTACACCCCACACCACCACACCCCACACCCCACACCACCACCACACCCCACACCCCACACCACCACCATTACACCACTCCCCCACACCACCTCACCACAAAATCACCACCCCACCACCACAGATAACACAGTGTATCACCAAAACCAATTTACGTAGTGGATGTTGTTTGAGTGTGTGGCTGAATATTAC